CCCACTTCTCTTCAGGCACCTTTCCCTATCATGGGCTAGCTTTTTGATGTTATTCCACGTCTTCCCTCTTTTCTGTACATCGATTTCTGTGATTCTTCTTCTGTTTCCTTGTGGTCTTCCCCCTGGTCTTTTACCCTGTGGGTTCAAATCCAGCACTTTCCTTGTTATACGGCTGCCTGACTTCCTGAGAGAGTATATCCAATCCATAGCCCTCGCTTTCTTTCCATCTCAACTGGGACTGGTCTCTGTCTTGTTCTCCTTAATACTTCTTCATTGGTGAGTGACCCTGTCTGCCCATCTGATCCTCAGTAACTTCTTCAGTCACGTGTTCAGGAAAACCTGGATCCTCTTTATGCAAGTCTGAGATGCGTTCCAGGTGTGTCAGGCGTGAAATACCTACATTAAAATATTTAAAATCAGACAAAAGAGAAAGCTTTCTGGTGCACTCACCACGTGACCCTTCTTGTCCCGCCCTTCTCGCACTGTCTCTGTCTCCCCGTGGGTGTCGCTCCGAGCTGTGTCTGTGTGAGTGAGTACACGACCCCCACCTTGCTCTTCTAGCACAGTCGTTGTCTGCATGTCGGGTCCCCGGTGGGTCCCCGTGACACCCTTAGTCACTTATGTTAACTACCCGCGTGCCGAGGCTTAGCTCAGAATTCGGCTCGCCAGTTCGGCTGGCTCACAGCATCACTCGGTTTTTTACAGTAGTAACGAAAAATCTACTACCCCCCAAAAAAACAACAACAACAAAAAACATTTTAAAAAACTGACTGAAGTGTCTTTAGGCCATTCCCAAAGAGGGGACATTTCTCGTTCATGCACAGTAAATGGGCTGGTTCATCATGTCACGCTCATAATCATAACTGTGCCTGATCTATAACAGGGAACTGCTGCTTTTTCTGTCCTAATCCTTACTACTGTCATTTTCCATCTACTTTATTTGTATGTTTGTCTCACTCTTGTGACCCACTATTTCCGGGGTGCCTTGATAGTCGAAGCAGACGTTGTGCTGTTGAAGCTAGAGAGGTGAGCAGAGTAAGTCTGATTCTCTGTAAGGACTTCTCTGTTGACATCCACCCCTTGGCGCTCATATGACCTTTTGCAGTTGGGAGCGCCGTAAAACCTCTACTAAAACTTTTTTTTTTTTAAACCGCAAGTGCTTCTTATCTATAACCAAACTGTAGGTTTACTGCTTGGATCATTCACTTCCACCCAGTCTGCTGTTTGTTTTTATGGAAATTGCTTGAATAGGAGTGGGGTTATAGGGAAGTTTGTGATGCTGAACACTTGGGTGAGAAAGTTGATTGTGTGCAAAGGAGGATTTTCCCCTGCATACTAAGAGTTAAGGTTCAGAGAGCTCTTGTCGTTCACACAAAAATTCTCTTGACATTTTTCCTTTCAGAGATCTGATATTTCTGGTAGTTTGTCCCGCTGTTTGATGCTAAGAACTCTTTTGAAGCATTTCGTGTGAAAAAACTTATTGGCTTGGCTTTGGTGCACTGTCCAGGTCTTGGCGCCATACAACAAAGTTGGGAGGACTGCAGCATTGTAGACTCTAAATGTGTAAGGCATCGTGTTGAAACCAGGCGCTCGTCAAAATATCGACATCGAAGTAAACGGCCTTTTGTCCCGTAATTTTAGGAATTTTTAGCGAATTTTTTGTTTTGGCTTAACAATTGTTAGGTCTATATCCATTTAAATACACATTTCTGTGTGGATTTACACTGAAAAACGTTGGTTAAAGGTATAAAAAATGTGAATTTTCAGTTTCCAAGGACTCTCAAGTTATGGAAGTCACCAAACTTTGGGGCCCTTTTCTCGCTAATTTATTCAGAGACAGAGGCCATGCCACCCCCACCTCTTTCAGTTGCTAACATCTCGACTTGTATTCAAAATAGATAGGTGATTTTTATTTATAGAAAGATAAACCAACGAACTAGCCTTAAGATGATGATACCTATATATAACTCCACAAGCACGAACATTGACGTGCGCCTGATTCCACTATGTCACACATTTAGTCTCTCAGTGAATGCCACTACAGTCCCAAACCCTTTTTTTGAGTCCTCCGAAAATTGGCATTGCTTTATTCATATTAACCTACTTCTGCATCGATGCGGGAATTGGAAGACAATGTACTACAAAGATATTCGAAGCTTTCAGCATTAAAATTTGTTAGTGTGTCTCATGTCTTTGATATCAGGAACTGGTGTATGTGGTGTAGCGGTTAGGCGCCTCGATGTCATACGCGGGAGACCTGAGTTTGATTCCAGATTTGGGAGAATTTTTATCAAGTATCTTGGTCTTTCTTCTAACTTGAATGTGAATGTTATATCTCTCTCAGCCCGGGTTGAACCTGGCTGACTGGGTCCGAAGACTGCTTCCTAATTATTGATCTCAATTGTGTCGATGGGGGCCTTAAATACCTACATTATTTTTTTTTTTTAATCCGAAGAGAGGGCAAATGGTTGGAAGGCGCCACTGGTGGGGCCTACTTCTTTACTTTCCTCCTGTTGTTTCTGTCTGTTCGTCTGTCTGTCTGTCTGTCTGTCTGTCTGTCTGTCTGTCTGTCTGTCTGTCTGTCTGTCTGTCGGTCTGTCTGTCTGTCTGTCTGTCTGTCTGTCTGCCGGTCGGTCTGTAGGTCTGTCTGTCTGTCGGTCGGTCGGTTTTGTCTGTCTGTCTGTCTGTCGGTGTATGCCTTACTTCTTCCCAGCACTAAAAGACTAATATAGTTGTGTCGATGTGCTTAGCTTTGTTCACGCAAACACATAAACAGGAGAAAGGGTCTCTCATATGTCGTACCTGCTATTCATTCCCCCTTTGTCCTTCTTTTAGTTTTAGTTACAGTTTTACGGCACTTGCAACACAATGAGGCCATATAAGTGTCGAAGAATAGATGTGTTACTAGAGAGTAACATACTACGGCTCTTGCAACTCAATGAGGCCATATAAGTGCCGAAGAATAGATGTGTTACTAGAGAATAACATACTCAAAACAAAAAAAAGGAGAAGAAATAAGGGCGATAGATGTTTGATAGGAAAGAAGGAGCAAACCACACCAGAGCACTCGCCAACCACCCGCTTTTCTTCTCCAGACACTGTGTACGTGGATCATGCGGGTGCGACACTGTACAGCCGCTCGCAGATTGATGCCGTCCACAAGGACCTGAGCAACACCCTCTATGGCAACCCACACAGCCTTAATGCATCGAGCAAGTTGGCTACAGACACTATTGATCAGATCAGATATAGGTACATTTGACCATAATGGGATTCCATTTGTGTTTGTTGAGAGGTGCTGTGTGAATACTTTGTGAAGGTTTTGTGTTGGTGACATTGTGTAGCTCTGTGTGTGTGTGTGTGTGTGTGTGTGTGTGTGTGTGTGTGTGTGTGTGTGTATGTGTGTGTGTGTGTGTGTGTGTGTGTGTGCGTGTCTGTGCGTGTCTGTGTGTGTGTGTGTTTGTCAAAAAAAAGTTCTTTTTTGTTTAAACATCTTTTTGGATATTTCTTGCCAGGAATCCATGCGAATCAGTGATAGATGTTCTGTGTTTAAACTATCCATGTTATATAGTAGTATATAGTCTACTGTATTAAGTTACAACATCACCATCGCCAATGTCAGTGCACCACAACCACCACCTCCACCAACAACAGTGACACCACCACAGCAACCGCCACCACCAACAACAACGTCACTGCCACCGACAGCACCACCACCACCACCACCACCAGCAACAACACCAACAGCAACAACCTGAATCAGAAACATGTATCTCTCCCCTGACCCTACTTCCCCCCCCCCTCCTTTACCCCCACCACCCCCTCATTCAGACTCCTCAAGTTCTTCAACACAACCCCCGAGGAGTACAGCCTCGTGTTCACCTCCGGATGTACAGCTTCTCTCAAGATAGTTGCTGATGGGTTCACCTTTTCCTCAGGTATATCATAATCGCCTTCTGGGCTTGGGACTGTATCACCTCATTTTTTTTTCTCTGGGTTGTACTTTTTTCCCCCTTTTCTATGTTAAACATTCAAGTGCTGCAAATAAAAAAAAGAAGTTATTTTCATTACCCTCTAGCAAAGATGTAGAATTTTAATTTATGAATGTTTTATTTTTATGCACTTACTTACTAACTACTTACTTACTCTTTTCTGTACCGTCAGATACATAAGTCACAGAACAATAATCGGTGCCTCATTTGCGTATTCCTAGCTATCTCCTCCAACCTTGGAACATCTAGGCCCTGGATGATTGCCTCATACCTGAATGTGCTTCTGTGACTTTCACTTGGTCTTCCTTTTCTTATTGTACTCTCTTTCTGTCTTCTCCCAACCTTACCCCGACTCCGAGCGGCCCCAGGTGTGTCTCCAGACAAGAACTCGGCAGGTGTGTTCTGTTACCTTGACGACAGCCACACATCAACGCAGGGCATGCGCGAGACCGTGTCGTCCAGGGCCTCTGACGTCATCTGTCTAGATGACCAGGAACTTCAGACCTCCTTGACCGCCACCGGAGGAGAGGCACCCACCGTCACCACTGCTTCATCATCGACATCGTCGTCATCATCGTCGGTTGATCCCGTGTTTCCAAGGTCATTGGTCGCTTTCCCGGCCCAGTCAAACTTCTCCGGCAGGAAGTATCCGCTACAGTGGGTGCAGCAGATTCAGAACCAGGGCCTGGTGTTGCCTGGAAGGAGGTGAGTCTGTGTCTCTCGTCATTCGCCAATTGGTCAAGTTTCAGGTTGGAATCAAAAGCAGATAGAATTTTTATGCTTTTACGTCAATTCACTGGTCAGAATTCAAATTTTTGATTGTAAATGTTACTGTTATCCACCATCCCACCCACCCACATCGATACAATTTAGATAATTAAGGAGGCAGGCTTCCAACTTTTGCTTGTCAAGGCCAACCCAGGTTGAGAGGGATACAACACCCATGTATAAATGGCGAGATACTCAACAATGAAAATTTCGTGCCCCTCAAGCATGGACTTTGGTCTCATGCTAACTGTTCCGCCACTGACGCTGTCCTGGTTTTTATTACCGTTTTTCTGTTTCTTTTATTTTTTGTTATATTTTTTTGGTCTATTTTTTTAAATTTTAGTGTCTCCGTGGGTGGTTGGTGGGTGCTCTGGTGTGGTTTGCTTCTTCTTTCCTATCAAACATCTATTGTCCTTATTTCGTCTCCTCCTTTTTTATGTTTGTTACTCTGTTGTAACATCTCTAATTATCTGGCGCTCATATGACCTTATGCAGTTGCGAGCGCCGTAAAACCTCTACTAAAACCATAGTATATCCAACTGACTGACAATTGGAATGTTGTGTCCCACTCTGCTGGAGTTGGCTGGAGCAGCCACCCTCCTATGTTTTTGGGCGAAAGACACAGTACCATTATGATATATAATGTACCCCCCCCCCCCAATATCCCCTAAATGGAAGGACGGTTATGATAGCAAAATCACAAAAATTGGACTTAAGCTGTTCTTCCTCTCTAACTTTGCAATGTTGTTGTATCTCTGTTATTTCGAGTTACTCGAGATTTACACCTAGATTGCAGTCTTTCGTTTCTCAT